AAAAAACCCAAGCTACCAAGTGTTGATCTCAACACTTATCATTAAACGTCACGGTTCGGAGATCGGAAGTCGAAGATACTTGTCTCTTGACACGTGCCTCTGCTCAGTAAAGCCCATCGAACAGAGAAGACCTACAACATCCCTAGCGAAAACACGGCCCGCCTCCTGCTCCAGAATGCTGCGTCTGCACCTTTCCACGCTGGCGCAAGCCCTTGGGCGTCCAGTAGAAGTATCTCTTACCTTAGAGGATTTTGCCAAGGTTTGTCTGCAATCTTTTGCCACATTGACATCCAGCCGTTAGTGAAACCAGTTCAAAGCCTGATTCGGCCACGATCCATGCAACTCCAGATTCTCCCTTCAAGTTCTTGGATATCAGTGATATCAGCTCCTTCGGGGGCCCTCAAGTTGTTTGTTCCTCTTCACTTCGACCGTAAATCATAGCTCAGAGTCGGGGGCAAAGGTAGAGCACTTGCTTGGCCCCTTTGATGCCCCCTAGGGCGTCCTCCAACAGCACATTGTCGTATTGTTCGATCAAAACGATGTCAAGCCGGCTCAAGTGCATCCTCACTGGCCATTTAAATATGTTTAGCTAATTACAGTCCTGCCGGGAGCCAATAGAGAGGCGCAATCAAGGCCAAACCATGCCTGGTAGAAGTCTTTCACGCAGAAATAGTTGGGCATCAGAAGCAGGAATGGTTTCCCATTTGAGCCTGACCCCAAGCCAGAAGAGTCTAAGAGAAGAGAAAGCGTCCGGCAGTACGGGCTGAAGGTATGGCTTGGCCGTCTTACATTCATGATGAGTAGGAAAGCAAGTTTAGTTTTCAGACCAACATTTAGCGTCAAGCATCCAGGAGACAAAGCTATGAAAAGCTGCCAAGCAGCGACAGAACTGCAAGAGCTGTTCCACATGGTCTCCACTGTACGGGGGATTTGTCAAGAGCACATCATGTGCCGGCACCTCAGAGGGCTCAGCGTAGCTCGCTAGGCGCGTGGGGATGCCAGTGTCGACACATGGGATTGTTGCCCTTCAAGACTCTACGAAGACCATTTAAACAGGTTCTGTGTAGCAGTGCGCAGTGCTTCTTTCTTGGTTGTGCTTTTGAACTAAGCCTCAGGCACGGCCTTCCTTCACAACAGCATAAAAATCCTGCGGCATTGCAGGGTTAAGCTGCTTTGAGATTGTGATTGGTCCCATGCCTGATACCTGCAGGTCAGAGCCAAAGCTTTTAAGCCTATGGTTTTCAATACCCTTCTTCTGCTCACTACATCCTTAACCTCTTTCGCCTCTTGAACAGCATCGATAGTTTTCATGTTGCCGCCCCCCTTTTGACCACCTGCGCTAGCACCCTATGACCAAAGCCATCCAAAGCCAAGACAAAAACATTACAAAAACACCTCACCCCAAGCACGACTGCTCGTCTTTCTTCGCACGACTGCAGGTCTCCCAGAATCATGTCGCTCACTCCACCATGAGGTGAAGAACCTGCCACGAAGCAACGATCAAGAAACTTCTCGGTGCTGCAATTGGTCTTTCCTTCCTCCCGACCAAGTTCAAAGATGGACAGTCATCCAAAGTCTGCATTTGGATCATGTATGTTGCCAGCTCCTCACAACTTCTGCTCCTGGACTTGCCTAGATTTCTCCCCTCACTCCAAACCAGATGCCAGAAGGTTCTCTTTCAAAAGCCATCCAGGTGATCTACGCTCAGGTGATCCACACTGCAAACCTCTGGGAAGCTCGGCTCGTTGAGACGGTTGAGACGGCGACGGCCTGCAGGTAGGCCCCCTCTGGGAAGCTCCGCCGAACGGGATGATCTGCACCGGCGCCGCCCTCCTCCTGCAGCGGTGCCGCTCACATCGAATCGCCAATGTCGTCCGATGACTCTTGGAACGAACTTGCAATCCAATGTCATAATGTCCGCAAATTCATGTTCATGAGATGTTCCACAAACCTCCCAATGCTTTCTTCGGGATGGAGAGCAACCGTGTCGAACGCAGAAGTTGCCTCCAGCCGTACTTTGCGACCAGAATCTTGGGCGGCGGCCTGAATTTCCATGGGATGCCGGATACTCCTTTTAAGAGATTTGGATCCCAATGACTATAACCTGTCAATGACGTTGTCAAGTCCAAACATGCCATGAGATAAGTTGGCACTAGCACTTGGGCCACCAGTTGAAGATCAAAGATCCACAGACAGTGCGAGTGCCGAGGTTGACTTGTGAGTGAATCAACTTGGAACAAGTTCATCAGCAACCTACTAGCGATGGCCTCCAACCTACTAGCGATGGCCTCCAACCTATTAACGATGGCCTCCAACCTAATAGCATGGTCACTATGCGATGGCCTCCAACCTGATAGCGATGGCCTCCAACCCACTACCGATGGCCTCTAACTTCGACCTCCAACCTAAAAGCGATGGCCTCAAACCTACTAGCGACTAATAGCCATGGCCTCCAACCTACTAGCGATGGCCTCCAACCTACTAGTGATGGCCTCCAACCTAATAGCGATGGCCTCCAACCTACCAGCGATGACCTCCAACCTAAAGACTAGCGATGGCCTCCAACCTACTAGCGATGGCCTCCAACCTAAGAGCGATAGCCTCCAACCTACTATAGCAATGCCTCCAACCTACTAGCGATGGACTCCAACCTAAAGACTAGCGAT